GTGATTCAAGACAGCAGGGTTAGTTTGATTTTTCAACTTTTTTGAATCTCTTTGAGAATCTCGACAAATCTCTCTTTCTCATGCCATCTTAGTTATTTATCCAACGCGTTAAATAATTTTGCAGATCAATTCATCAGAATTCCTGAATTTAAGCGATCTCTATCTTACTTTATTTATATGAAATTCCCCGTGGGGAATTTATTTCTCAGGTCGGTTACAACCTACAGGATCATGTTGGACTCGGCGGACTCGCGTTTATGGTCAACCAGGAGATTGCTATGGTGGAGAATCGGTTGCAAAGTGTTCAAGCGGTGATGCAATATGCTGCGCTGGGTGATGGACCGCTGACGGTGCCCGGAGGTGTCGAAGGCGTCGCTTTTGTCAATACTAAATACGCGAACGCCTCGCTGGACTTTCCTGACATCGAATTGCATTTCATTTCCGGTTCGACTAATTCGGATGGTGGTAGACAGATCAGAAAAGTTCACGGATTGACAAAACAGTTCTACGACGCTGTTTTCGGGCAGATAAGTGACAAGGACACATGGAGCGTGATTCCTATGTTGTTACGACCAAAGAGTCGCGGCATGATCAAGCTACGCAGCAAGAATCCATTCGATCATCCTCTTATTTACGCAAACTATTTCAAGGAACCGGAAGATATCGCCACGTTGGTCGAAGGAGTCAAGATCAGCGTAGCGCTTAGTAAAACCGAAGCGTTCAGACGATTCGGAAGCGAGCTCAATTCGCAACAGTTTCCAGGATGTAAACACATACCTGCATTTAGCGACCCGTATTGGGAATGTATGATACGCCAATATAGCATCACGATCTATCATCCAGTAGGCACATGCAAAATGGGCCCTTATTGGGATCCCGAAGCCGTCGTTGATTCGCAGCTTAGAGTTTACGGTGTGGCTGGGCTTCGTGTCATCGATGCCTCGATCATGCCGAACCTTGTCAGTGGAAACACAAACGCACCGACGATTATGATCGGTGAAAAAGCATCGGATATGATTAAGGAATATTGGTTGAAGTCGAAAGGCAGGTTCGAGGGGGACTCTAGTGAACGATAAATACTTCGGCCTCGTTACGAATGATGAGAGAATGACAAGGGAATGATACGAATGCCAACTACCGTCGATATGTTAAGAATAAAAATTTTGAATTTTACTGCTTTATTGCTTTCTTACTATATTTTATGAGCCATATTAGTTAAGAATAAGAATATCCGAATGCATATAAATTATTATATATTTATCTGAAAATGTATCAAATGGATATGTTTTTAGATACAACTTTTATAAAAATGGAATATTTAAAGAATCTAATACTGTATTACAATGCAGCATTTAAGTAAGCATTTAAGTAACGTAAGCATTAATTATAATGTTATGCTCGCAATTATATTGGTATATTATTTTCGAAATTGAATTTTAATCTTCCAAACAGTTGATAGCCAGCACAAAAGAAAAATATTTGAGCACTATTCATGTAATCGCGTACGATTATCTATTACTTCTTATGTTAATTATACATATTGTGGATTAATTAATTACATATTGTGGATAAGGTTTCCCCTTCTCCTTTTCCTTTCATAATCTTTTTAATATAAGCAATGGAAGGCTTTCGTAGAAAATTCGTATTTCTTCAACTCATCAAGCAGCATAAGTAACTATTCGTCAGATCTTTTATAATCGTGCAGTTTACAGTAATAATTAAGATTCAAATTATGTAAATTAATCAAGTTTTGCAAAATAAGCAGTGTTTAGTGTATGCCACGAATGACCATAACTAC